ATAAATTGTTTCCTTTTAATTCATATTAAATGTTTACAACCTGTATTATATGTGTATATTAAAACTGCAAATGGAATTTAATGTATATATTTTTTTTAATTCACAGAAATAATATCAATCGTTAGCTTATTGTAAACTACTATGACGAAATAGACGAATTTATAGTAGGCTTATGTATTAATGTGTTACAATCAGAGGAAAATTCAAGACAAATAACTTCTAAATGTATTCATGAGTATGTGTTGCTATGGGGTAGCCTAGACTCAAAATAAAACATTTCTTAGTCTTCTTTTCATTAGTTTTCAATAGTTCCTTGACTTATATTATGATAAAACCAATGGTGTTTAAATTAACAGCATGTTGCAATATATATATTCAAATGAGAGTCCGAATTATAGGTTAAATGAATTTTAATTGTAATTCAATAGCTTGGCAATATGCCAGATATCCGAAGACGATATTCAATAGATGATAGGAGTTATATTCTCTGTGACTATTAATAATACACAAGAATAATCATGGAGTCATACATTGACATAAATGTATCATGTATTTCGAATTGTCGTAAACACTCATATTAAGATAATTTTTTATATTCCATCATTCAACGGTGTTATTCACACGTTGTGCTATAAACATTGTGCTAAATAACAGTGCACATCTTCCTACAAACAGTGCAATATAGAATTACATATGTACATGTTTTATGCCTATATTTGTGCACAACCACACACCTTTACTTTTGATGTTGTTTATACCAAAAAGCCATTTAAAGTATTAATATTAAAAGACTGATTTTCAAATGTCTAGTCTTTGTTATTTTTTGCGTTAAATTCTGTTTGTTTTATTGTCAAATACACGCAAAATAACTTTAAATCTATCATTCATTTTTTCATTGTTTCAGGTGTTATCCAATTCAGTCGTGGACATCTTTTTTGCTCTTATTTTTTCTTAAGTTTTCTATTGTTTTCACTATGAGTGAATCATACTTTTTCGAACAAAGAATACAATTAAATTCCCTATATATTGTTTGCTTGAATCTTTCCATTGATGTGGTAGGACTGCAATTGATCAGTTTCTTATTGGCATATGTGCATACTGTACGTATTGCCTTAATTCATAAGCATTATAAGCAAAGATGAATAGTGGCTTGCAGTGAAATTCAATGGAATCCAATTGTACATAGTTTTTTTTTGATGAAATAACAAAAGAAACATAGAAAATAAATACTAATATCTAAATTCTTATATTTAGTTTTTTTTCAAGACAAAGGCAATTCTCTTCGGTTGGGAAGATGCACAACTTCGCAGAAAATAAAAGGCATTGGTACCCTAGTTTGACTTCCCATAAAAACACCAATAGACTGAATCTTGATATGCCATGACCTTTATAAATTTGACCTTTCGTGATTTTTAGCCAATCATGTTCATAATATTTTAGTCTGAATTCCATATATGTAAATATATCTACGAATGACAAGAGATTAAACTGACATAAATTATGTAAATATTTACTTTTGTAGTTGTTACGGTGGTCTTATTCTCATAATGTCAAATAGACCACTCACTTAGGCCTGAATATTTTAATTTTAAACCTTAGACTTCGGTTCTTTCAAATACCTACTTCATTTCTGTACATCAGCATTTCGAACAAATTATTAGCTGAAATTACAGCAGTTTGAGTGATTCTTCATTAATACATACAATTCTGAGTGAATCACTGATGAAGTCGATCTCCCTTTAGTACGGCGAAATTCCTTTTAAATGTTTTGATAGTCTCTATGTGTTCACTTACACAAATGGCTACATGAGTTGTATGTATGAGTACTTTTGTTTGTTTCATTTTTATTAGCTAGACAATCATACTTACATTCTCACAAAACGTGTAGCCTAAAGCTGAGGACTTTCCAGCTGCTTTTCGTTCTTTCGATGTCTGCTTCAAAGTACCGACGCAATGTGTTTCTTGGTCTTCCTATTTCCTTTCAGGAATCCAAGTTACCGCTTGCCTCGTGATGCAGTTTGATGATTTCCGTATTGTTTTTCCTATCCAACTTCAACGTATTTTCTTAATTTCCTCTTAATCTGGAAGCTGGTTTGTTCTCGCCCGCAAACTAATGATCATATTGTATTATTTAATAAATTACATGATACATACTATTTGATTTAAAACCGTTGTTCACTTGATAACAACTTATTTCGAAAGAAGCTTTGAAATTCTCATATGAGGCTTCTATTTTATAGGGGTTTGCTATCTCTCTTGTGAAAATAATGCAATAGTTATTGAAACAGTTTCACATTCTAGAATCTTCCCATTTAATAACATTTCAACTCAAAATATTTGAAGTAAAATCCGAATATATTCCTCACGAGATGTGAAAAAGTATCGTCTAAAAGATTAATATATACTACATCACTAGGTAGTTTCATAGTTTACATTATAGATATGTCAGCTAGTCCCTACTGTAATTCATCTTGATATTACACGAATAAACAAAAACTCAATCATTACAAGTTGCTACCAACTAGAGAATCATTAAAAAAATCAAAAAAGATTTGCCCTCAAATGTCTTCTTTTTCTTCAAATCTTATTCTGCTACTCGTCAACAACTTGAACTGTTGAACAATTGACATTGTTTCTCAGTTTTCCTACTTTTAATTGGTGAATTACAAACACTATTGACCTTAAAGTTATCTACTTAACAGAAATATTGATTTGCCACTTTTTTTTTACAATAAACTAAATAATTATTTACTAACCTATTATTAAAAGAACATATAAATGAACAGAGAAGAATTACCATTCATCTTGATGTTTGTATGTATACTGAGGCTTACTTATCAATACACTATGCATTTTGAAACTCCATACGAATTAATGTATAACAAAACAAAAATCAATTATTTTGGAAGTAATTTCAGGGTCTTTATTAAACCGTTCCCTATGAGTGTTGTTGATTAACTTACTACTAATAACCATGTATAATAAACACCGTTAATCGTGACGTTTATGTTTAGCTATGCTAAAGAATATATCTAGTTTGAGTTAATTTATTTTGACCTACTTATAATAGATAATAAGTAGTACACTAGACTTTTATATTTATTAATGCCTAACTCCTATCATATTAAGGAACGGTACATTGATTTGAAGATGATTTTCATTTATTATTTTTAGTAACTACGATCTATAGGTTATTTGTCAGTTGTTTATTTGACTTGTAAAACTCTTCAGTAATTGACCAATAAAAATTCTGTTTGGACATTCTATTTTTGTAGGTATAATTACTAAGGTTTGATTTGATAATTTTGAATAAATTGAGCATTGGGTAGATTGTTATAGATGAAAATAATGTATTTGTAATATCCCAACGAGTAGAGTAAATAAATTTTCCGACGTTTCGTGCCTTAGTGTAAGCTACTTCTTCAGAGAATAAATAACCAAATCAAAGTTAATTCAAGTTTAAATACTACAACGGAACGACAAGAATATTATATTATATATTATTTATTTATTCTATTTTGTATTATCTTTCTATGAAAAATTACATCATTTGTACTTGTCAGTATCATAAACTGGATGAGTTTGAAACAAACAGAACATTGAACAAACCGGTTTTCACGGTACATGTGATTGCTTCAGCATTGAATCGTATGTCACTCAGTTTCGTGGATTGGCTGATGTTAGACACTATCACCATTGGATGCCGGCTCAGTGGTCTAGTAGGTTAAGCGTTCGCGCGCGAGACTGAAAGCCCTGGGTCCGAATCCGGTGAGCGGTATCGTGGATACGCACTGCTGAGGAGTCCGACAATAGGACGAAACGGCCGTCCAGTGCTTCCAGATTCCCAAAGGTGGTCTAGCATCAATCGATTCATGATCTCAACCAAATATCTTGTTTTATCCAGATTTTGGGAATTCTTCCATCTGATGTCAGTTTTGTGTGATTTATTTATCAATAACGGGGTTTTATTCCTTCTTTGATAAATAAGAGTAATTCATCTGTTTATCGAATAAAAAGTTTATTATTAAATTAAATGACTATGATTATATCTAGACTAGATCAATTGATAACTTTCGACAAACTAAGATGTGATAATCAGGTCATTTCATAAATCTAGGTAAAATTGCTTCTTGGTTTCCATTGGTTGTCTATGTTTTATAAGTCAACGATTATTTCCAATACAAGTCAGTGTAAACTCGAAAATCCACTAACAACGAAAAAGTACTGTGATTTTTTCGATTTTATTATAAGCCTCTGCTGAAATTTACGCAACTCTGTGGGTGGTCTTGTTTGTATGTATTATTGATCATTTCAATAGTTGAGATCATGAGTCGATTTAAACTAGACCACCATTGAAAACCTGGAAACACTGGACGACCACTTCGTCCTATTGTGGGACTCTTCAGTTGTGCGCATCCACGACCCGGCCTCGCGATATTTGAACCCAGGATCTGTCGGTTACGCGCGAACACTTAACCACTAGACCAGTGAGCCGGCATCCAACGGTGTTGGTGTCTAACTTCAACTAATCCACGAAATTGAGTGACACATCTAGCATTGTCTTCAGTGAGTTACTATTTCACAATGGACCCATTTGAACTCCACTGGTCACTACTTCTCACTAGAACTCTATGAAATACCTCTTGGAGACCGTCACTAGTGACCATACTCTGATTAGTATCAGAAGGGGTTTTTCACTAATGAATTCAACTATTAAGACTATTATAATGTCCACAAATGTCCCTTCTGATATTACTGATAAGTTACAAAATATGGTTGAAATAGCTACTCATTTCCAAATGGTTTTAAAGCTAATTACGATTCACAGCGAAATTATTTCTAAAATATCCAATAAATTTCAACTGAAACCTTTTAACTTGATCACTTACAATTGTTACTTTGTTGAACAAACTTGACTGTCTGCTTTCAATGAGTTAATTTAATGTCTTTGCTTTAAACGTTTAACTTCTCATTTTTAATGATCTCTCTTCCTATTCTAGGAAGTTCTACAAGAAGTCATTACAATTCGTCCACCAAATATTGTCCTGGTCAGCAAAATACCTGATTCTGGTAAGTACATTTATTTAGCATATGGTTTAGCAATTCAATATGTAATCTATAAGTCTCAATTAAGTTGAATTGATTATTATTAGTAACGAGTATCATGAATGACCTACAAAGCTCATATTATCTAACAGTCAATGATGTTTTAAGTAAATTTTAATCATTTTCATTCTGTGTCAAATGTTTTGTGTTGAACTACATCATTTTTCCTGTTTGTGGTATCTGACCAATTATTATGTCTCTAGACCTTCGATCACTAGGCAACTTTACGTTAATAAACTGGAATAGTAAGTAGTTGTCATTCAGATTTATTGATTATATCCTATTCTAGTAGTTGTACAATCCATATAACCTTTTTAAACACTATACCACTTATAATCAACACTGTCCACATGGAAAGCTGTATTTTTCGTATAGTTTTTATAAGGAGATATTGTGGATTTGAAATTTGTACAATAATCTGTTATGTGATCCCGGGCAATCTTCATCACGAACCAACTTCAACACGAGGAATCATTGGATCTGAAGTCAGTTTATAACCAAAGCTGTCGCAAAAATTGCAATAATCTTTATAGCTAACCAGCATAATGTATATATGGTTGGTGGATTGTAGCCAACAATAGGATTCAAAATACTCATTTCGTCTTACTGGGATAGTTGCAGTTTCAGTCTTGAATGTTAACAACGGGATGGCTCAAATACTTACTAATAACGATATACATATCATACTCTTTGAACGAGTCAGTGGCTATCTGCACTCAGTAGATAACGCGTTGGGGTTTGAAGCAAAAAGTACTGAGTTTGAGACCGGCATGAACATCGAAACTTGGATGTAATTATATTCGGTTAATGGATTCAAAAATTAGACGAAACTCACGTCCTTTATTCCATTGCTAGCCTCAATCCATTTGCCATACTGAAGCAACCCAGATTTGACCCAAACATAGAGACTAAGATGGATCAAATTTCAGTAGCATATATCATGGTGGCGTAATTCGAGCCCTCATGTTACAAACTTTATAAATGATATTATTATCCTATTGTGCCATTCATTTACACTAACACAATCGAATCTTGTCAATAAATACATACGCAAGCATGTGTACACGATAGTGTCTGGATTTTGGGTGTTACCCTCTTATTTTTCAATCCATAGCCTCAATTTAGGCTTATAACCATGTTAACTTACAATCATCTATGGCATACATTGTGGTATTTTTTCGTGTTATAAGATTAGGGTGTGGTTATTTCCGTTTTTATCCTAGGCCTAAAAACAATGCAAGTATGAATCATTTGGCATATTGCATAAATTTACGTGAAATTTTCTCTTGGCTAAACATTATAGGTTGCTAAGGTATTCTAGAGTGTATTGGGAAGGCGAGGTGAGCTTACCTAGATCTTAACAACATATGACTAAGTTTATCATTTAAAGCATGAGTTAATTGTGTGTTTATACGGTCACTCATTAAGTTATACTTGCTTGGCTATTTCACAGGTGAATAAATAATCTTCCAGATTAAAACACAAAAAATATTGACGGTGATACGAGATTTAGATCTCAGTTGTGCGTTTTTCTGCTTTGTTTGATACTACACACATCATCTTTGTCTCCAGTAGGAATTTTTCGGTAATTTTTATTTTCTTTCCATTCTCTGAATCATTACAGTGTGATATCTTTCTAAAATTTCCTACATTCTTTTTGCTTTCCTCTTTTGGTAATAAAATCCATGGTATGTACATTACAAATAAACCGAACACAGATGTTCGTGAATTTTTCAAATAAATTGTTTCATTCATGTTTATCTATTTTTTGCAAGGAAACATTTCACTTTTTTATTGAGATTATGAACTGATTGATGTTAGACCACCAATGAAAAACTGGAAGCACTGGAGGGCCGTCCCGTTTTATTGTGGGACTCCTCGGCAGCGCGCATCCACGATCCAGCGAGGGGGATTCGAACCTAAGGCCTTCAGTCTCGCGCGCGAATGCTTAACCTCTAGACCATTGGGCCGGCATCCAACGGTGTTGGTGTCTAACTTCAACTAATCCACGAAATCACGCGACCATCTTCCATTGTACTGAGGTAGATACCTGACTCTATCCGACGCGGATTATCTCTACCGGTCACGGCTTCTCACTAGAAACCCTGGTTTCGAATTCCGCTAGCGGGATCGTGGGTGCGCACTGCTGAGGAATCCTATACTATGATTTAAACGGCCGTCCAGTGCTTCCAGGTTTCCAACGGTGGTCTAACATCAATCGGTTCACGATCTCAGTCGACATCTTAATAATCTCCACAACCCTATACTGATAAACCTTTCATTGTTAGACAAAAACTGGAGAAAGCATTATTTGCCATTTTGGATTTTTAAACACATTTTGTATGGTAACTGATTTAGAAGAAACATGTTTTAATGATCACTCATTAGTATCGGACGAAATCTCAGCACGGATTCGAAAAGCTCGTTTGGCTTTTGGCAACTTACGTCACCTTTGGCGAAGGCGAGATATCCGTCTATCAATAAAAGGACGAGTATACTGCGCGGCAGTCGTTCTGTTTTACTTTACGGCAGCGAAACATGGCCTTTAAGAGTAGAAGACATTCATAAGCTACTAGTATTTGACCACAGATGCCTTAGAAATATTGCTGGCATCTGCTGGGATCACCGGGTAAGTAATAGTGAGGTTAGACGCAGGGTATTATGTCATGATGGTAAATCAGTTGATGAGGTCGTGAATCTTCATCGACTGAGATGGTTGGGCCACGTGTTACGTATGCCTGAACACCGATTACCACGTCGTGCAATGCTAACGGGTGTTAGAGATGGTTGGAAGAGAATTAGGGGCGGCCAAACCAAAACGTGGCATCAGTGCTTGAAGACACTAACTTCTAGTCTGAGCCATGTTGGTAGATGCAGACTACTTGGTTGGGGTCCGCGTGACTTTCGTAACCAATGGTTGGAGACTCTTGGTGACATGGCTCAGAATCGATCACAATGGCGTCGGTGTATACACTCTCTATCTTCCCTTAAACTAAGAGATTAAAATCACTTCATATCTTTCTTTCTATGAACTAATTCTTTCTTCCTGTACTGTATCCTTATATGCAATTTCTTCTCCTATATATTACCACCTTTGACCTAACCACTCCTATGAATCCGGTGTTCATCTTGCTGTGCTAATGTGGTATGGCAACCTGGACCGATGCATATATGTGCCTGGTCCTACGTTGTAGCTGACTGACTGACTGACTTGGTTTGGCCAAAGTCAGAACAAGCAAGCTATTTGGCTAGATAAACTTTATCTGTTTCTAAAATATAAATTAACATCCTTAGTGTACAAACAAGCTGTACGGTCTATTAATACAGGGAAAAAACAGACAAATAACATACCGAACAGTAGCCAGAGAATAGGAAAAATGAGTCAACAAGCAAATATTGTTTTACAATGAACATCAAACTGTGATTGGTTAATAAAAAGATACAGTAGTACAAGGTCAAAGGGAGTTAATATTGGTGGTGGGCGTTTCCCTTTATTATTGGTGAGTTCGTCTATCGATCACACCTTACAATGGGACTTATCAGCAGTACCCTCCTGTATACTTGCCAGTGATCGAAGCCGGGACCTGAAGATCTAATACGTACTAGGTTTCATTGATCATCAGTACCGGATGTCATATTCGTCAAACATTTCACATCAAGTTCCTGCAGTTTGCCACAATCGCTTGTTTTATAGATGTCCGGTGTGGCACATCCCGACATATTGCATGAAAAATGCAAATATAGTGCGATTTATGGCTTAAAACAAAATCTTTAGTAAATATTACTACCCAATATGTTGTAGCACTCACCACTAAATGATCCAAAGAATGACTTAAACTTTTGGGAACGACACACTAGTAGACATTTCAAATACTAAGGCTATTATCAAAACAGAAAAGGCCGACTATGTAATCGACTCGGCCGAAAAAAAGCAAATTTCTTGATTTGATTTTGGGGCATGTGAGATCACGCCTTAATTACATGTGCTCAATTGTATTGATCTAGTCAATGTGTTAGTTAATTATTCGTCTAGACTATATGTATCTGGTACCAGTGACCTTAGACTTACCAATGACACTATGATAGTGAAATAGCATTAGAAAATAAAACTTAGCGACTGTCGGTTCAGAATGCAGTTCTCCCACACACGCTGATACAGTAGTCAGGATAGAACACAACACAGTAGGTAGAAACTTCTAATTACACAGTTCACTTCATTTTGCAATTCACAATAAAATAGAGAAACTCTAGAGCACATAGATATTGGTACAAGGAGGCACCAAATACATATGCGCCACACAGATCTCATTTGATATGTGTAAGGGCTGTAATACTGCCCGGGTGCCCAAACCAAACAGAGGAGCACACATCAACAGTAATAAAAATTTCAATACTTGCATAACTATGCCATTAGTGGAAGAGGCTAAGCAAGAGATCCATAGTAAGGTAACATTAATTTAAGAAAGATGCAAAACCTACGGTTTCTACATCACCGTAAAGCTTACAAGTAGGAGAAAACAAAAACACGATAATTTAGGTATTTAGTAGTAATATGACAAAAACGTAAACGATAAATTCAGGTAGGACAGTTCCAGAAATTCAATTTTTATTCCTATTTATCTTGTTATAGAACTCAGTCAATCAGCTACAACGTAGAACCAGGCACATATATGCATCGGTCCAAGTTGCCACACCTCATTAGCACAACAAGATGAACACCGGATTCATAGGAGTAGTTACTTCAATGGTAGTAATATATAAAAGAAAAATAGCATATAAGGATATAATACAGGAAGAAATGCATAAAGTAATTTTCATCTCACGATTTAAGGGAAGACAGAGAGTGTATATACCTACGCCATTTTGATTGATTCTGAGCCATGTCACGCAGTCTCCAACCGTTGGTTACGATAGTCACTCAGACCCCAACTAAGTAGTCTGCATCTACCAACATGGCTCAGACC